GTGTTTGCAGATGATTTCCTTAATTACTTGCTCCATTATCTTCCCTGGCACAGAAGTTAAACTAACTGGTCTGTAGTTTCCTGGGTTGTTCTTATTTCCCTTTTTATAGATGGGCACTATATTTGCCCTTTTCCAGTCCTCTGGAATCTCTCCTGTCTCCCATGATTTTCCAAAGATGATAGCTAGAGCCTCAGATAGCTCCTCTATCAGCTCCTTGGTATTCTAGGATGCATTTCATCAGGCCCTGGTGACTTGCAGGCATCTAACCTTTCTAGGTGATTTTTAACTTGTTCTTTTTTTATTTTACCTTCTAAAACTACCCCCTTCCCACTAGCATTCACTATGTTGGGCATTCCTACAGACTTCTTGGTAAAGACCGAAACAAAGAAGTCATTGAGCATCTCTGCCGTTTCCTGTTACTGTTTCTCCCTCCTCACTGACCAGTGGGCCTACCCTCTCCTTGGTCTTCCTCTTGCTTCTAATGTACTTGTTTCCCTTTATTCCCGTAGCTAGTTTGAGCTCATTCTATGCCTTTGCCTTTCTAATCTTGCCCCTGCATTCCTGTGCTGTTTGCCTATATTCATCCTTTGTAATTTGTCCTATATTCCATTTTTTATGATTCCTTTTTTATTTTTAGATCATTCAAGATCTCGTGGTTAAGCCAAGGCAGTCTTTTGTCATACTTTCTATCTTTGCGACACATCGGAATAGCTTGCTTTTGGGCCCTTAACAGTGTCCCTTTGAAAAACTGTCAACTCTCCTCAGTTGTTTTTCCTCCGTCTCAATTCCCATGGGACCTTACCTATCAGCTCTCTAAGCTTACCAAAATCCACCTTCCTGAAATCCATTCTCTATTTTGCTGTTCTCCCTTCTACCTTTCCTTAGCAGTGTGAACTCGATGATTTCATGATCACCATGAAACCATGTGGGGGCACTGCAGAATCAAAAAGCAGGCACCTAAAATGTCAACTCAATCGTAAGTAAAAACACTTGACAAAACATCTCTCCCTTCACCTAAAAGAAATGTTCTTAAATTTACCAAATTTTCAGGTGGATGTTTGGGCTAATGGCAAATTCCTTGTTCAGCAGTTTCCATATTTTAGGAATAAATACCTGAAATTCTAAAAATCTAGTTTAACTTCTTACAGTATCAACCAAACACTAGGCCATGGAATAATTACAAAATCCTCTCCTTAGCCATAGTAGAAACAATGTTTGCATGAGCTCAGGAAATAGTATCACAGGGTCTATTTGGGGGAAAATGACGTTAACTCACAGGCAGGATGATACTAGAGTCTAGATTGCCAGCTGGTCATCGTTACCAAAATGGCCATGTGAATTTACAGTTTTTCTGGTATCTTCTGTAAGCATTTAATTAACATCTAATGAAAACAACATAAAAACAATATCAATCCTGTATTTAGTTTAGGATGCACTTGCATTGTATCTTATATTCTCACAGCAGGAACAGTTGATCTGCACCCTCTAACACACAAATATACCAAACTAGATCATCCCACTGACGTTCTTGTTCAGTTGTGACACCTATTGGAGTATGCGTGTGAGGAAAAAAATCTGTGAAGACTACAGTTCTTATATTAAGAGACATGTTCAGACTCTCGTGGGGTATGTCTACACTACAGCGTTAATTCAAGTTATCTTAATTTGAACTAGTTAATTCACATTAAGCTCATTTGAATTAACACATCTACACAAATACAGTTTGAACTAGCATTTTGCTATTTCAAAATAGCACAGCCACAGTCAGTGGACCCTGAATCGGAGTTAAGGCTGGCCGGAACCAGTACTGGCAGAGCACCAGGTCAGGACTTACTGTGTGTGGCTGGTGCCTGAGGCTATGTGAGGTCTGTGCTTAGAGGGACCCTATCCCCACCCCAGACAGACAGTTCTCAGGTTTCCCTGCTTGCTTGTCTACTTTGATGATGGACAGCAAAGCATTTGTGTCTTTGCGTGCTCTGCTTGCCCTCACTCGGGACCCCACAGCATTCTGCCACTGGGAGCCAGAGCTGCCTTTGGGCACACTGGTGCATCCTGTGGATGTGTTGCCATCAGCCTAGCTGCACTTGCTGCAGGCTGCCAGCGGGCAGGTCCATGGGGAGGCTGTCAGTATCCAGGGGACCCTGCGGGAGAGCTTCTGCCCTGAGGAGCACTAACAGTCTCCCTGGTCTGCCCCAGTGGGGGCTCGTGCCCCATTCCTCCCTCACATCCTTCCACTTACCCCTCCTTAGCCCCCCTTCCTGATGTAAAATAAAATACACTTTTTTCAAAAATAGAGACTCTGTTTAACAAAATGGCGGGGGGGACTGAACCTGGGGGGATACTGGGGAAAGGAGATGGGAGGGAAGGAGCTGGAAGGGGGAAGCAAGAGGAGGAAGGGGGAGGGGAAGCTCAGTGCTCGGGGTGGGGGTCTTGTTGGGCCACATGTCTCACAGCACAGCGGGTGCGGGGGCCTTGGCATCCCTGGGGGGAAGGGGAGGAGGGTGTAGAGGTTGAGGTGGGGGGTTTGGAGATTGAGGGGGAGAAGTGGGAGGAGGAATGGTAGCTTGGGGGGCAGCACGCTCTGCACCAGGGACTGCAGATGTGTTCAGATGGCACGATCCTGGGCAAGCAGTTCCCTCCGGAACTCCCGTTCTTCCTGTGCCCGCTGCTCCATGACGTGGGTCAGGGCTCGCTAGGCCCCCAGGTGCTACTATCAATACCTTGCAGCGTTGCGGTCATCCTGTGGAGCCCTCAGGTGTGGGAGGATGTCCCGGGCAGGGTGATGCACCCTGCACATGCAGCTGGTGCAGCTATAGAGAAAAAAGTGGTCAGTTCTCCCTGGGGACAGTGGGTGAAGCCCAGCCCCCACTTCCCCTCCCCACCCCCATCCCCCCCGGGAGTAGAAGAAAAATAACTCAGATACCAAAAATGTACCATTTAGTAGGCTCAAAGATGGGCCATATGGTAACTTCTGTACTCTTGCTACTGACTCTAAGAGGAAGGATGGTCCTGTGCTTAAGGTATTGGCCCAGGCTGTAGGAGCTAGGGGTTCACTTAAGAGTCTCAGTGGGTTGGTAGAGCTGGACCTTAGCCTCTCTGTGCCTCAGTTTCCTGTTTGTAAACTGTTTCCATAGCTCCGAGGGGTGTAGGTACCTAAAATGTCTATGTAGCTACAAGCAATATAATGAGGCTGCCCAGGAGGATGGATCCTGTGCTGTGTATACTGTGGGTGAAGTGTGTGTGTGTGGGGGGGGAGAGATGTTAGAGGGGGCTTGTGAAGGGAGAGCGTCCTGCTGTGTCCTGCCCCAGGGTCTGGAGTGTGTCAGGTCTCTTCACCCATGCGTGTGACTATCAGGCCATGGCCCGTGTGGCACGCAGCTGGAGCCACCTGCCCACGGGTGGCATGGCACGTGCTTGCACGTGCACAGGTTGCTGCATGATCCATGGTAAGCAAGGCCCACGCATGCGGTCCCTGGTCTTCCTTTGCCCCCCTCACCTCCGGGAAGGGGAGTGATGGCACTTACATGGTGTGGCATCCCCAGAAGACCCTGCTGACGCCACAGGTGGGACTGCTTCGGGGTCCTGGCTCGCTGCCCCCCTGGGGTGGCACAGACCGCCCCCCCATGATGCGGTCCAGTGCCTTGAAGTAGGGGCAGGTGTCTGCCCCTGCTAAGGAGCTGCCCCAAGTGTCCCTGGCATACACCTGCCGCAACTCTTTAATTTTTTGGCGCACCTGCTCCTGGGTGCGCCTGTGGCCTTTCTGGGCCATGGTGGCCGCTATGCGGCCGTACATGGCTGCGTTCCTCCATCTAGTGCGGAGATCATGGACATTGGGAGCCTCAATGAGGTCCATAATCTCCTCACTAGTCCAGGAGGGAGCACGGCGTCTATGACCTCTGGCTGGCTCCTGGGTGCTGGGGGACTAGGCGGGGGGATGGCTGGCTGGCTGGCACTGGCCGCCTGGCTCATGGTGGGGCCACTGGGTCAGGGGCAGAGACTGCTGGCAGGCCTGAATCTGGCACGTGCAGTCTGGCCAGAGTCTACCCCTTTAAAGGCTCTGGGACTGAGGGAGAGGAGAGGAGTTTTCCTGGTTTGGCCCAGAGTGGCCACCAGGGAAAACTGGGAAAGTCTGGAGGCCAGCTAATTTGAAATAAGCATCTACACAGCACTTATTTCGAATTAGCTATTTCAAATTTGACGTTACTCCTCGTAGAATGAGGTTTACCAAATTCTAATTAAGCGCTCTGCTATTTCGATTTTATTTCGAAATAGCGGTTTGCCTGTATAGACGCTCTTAAAGTTAATTTGAAATAACAGCTGTTATTTCGAATTAACTTTGCAGTGTAGACATACCCTTGGAGAGGATGTCATGTTAAAGCTCCTAGCTAATCTTGCTACATGGATGATAACCTTTGCACTCGTAATATCAATGTAATGGAAGGAACACTATATGGTCTCTATTCCAAGAAAAGTAAGACCCACATTTCCTAAGCCCATACTGTTTATTGTGGTTGATAGTAAATGTAGGCATTTTTAGTAAGCATTAATTTAGGCTATCAATTTCAAAGTTCAGTTTTAAATAATTTTGAGGTTATTAAAAAGTAAACCTCAATTTAATTTAATTCCAGGCAATCTAATTTAAAAAAAAAAAATTTAATCAGTGTTTATCTGCACCGCTGGCAACTATACTTAAGGAGTATCGCTGGGTAAACGTTGAAAATTATGCGGCATTCTTTGGTGGGTGCAGGGAGTAGTTGTGTTTGTGACTATATGATGCTTTGTTGGTACAGTGCAGAAGAAACGTTGTTAGAAAACTAAAGAAAATTCACCAAATTCTTATATAGATTTGCCCGAGTCGGTGTAAATGCTTCTCTAGTGCCATCTTTGAGAAGAAAAATTAATTCACTCTTTTTTAAGGAAGTGAGATATGAGCTTAGGGAAGTATTTGCACTGACTGACTGCCGAATGTTAAATTTACGGAGAGCGATACACTGTGGGGAGATTTTTGCTTCACTGTGCTAAGGTTGGTTTGCATAGAGACGCAATTATTTCCAGCATCACAGTTACCTCTGGAATTTCAAATACTCATTACAAATGAAAGAGCCATGCCCCAGCAAAGGAAATGTGCAAGGGCTGCCTATTCAAAAGCAACATGTCTCTGTGGGCAATAATTTTTGATGAGGGGGGGCCACTCCCAGACTTTGTTAAATAGTCAAGGGCCTCTAATGAAGGTGGGTGGGGTCCTGGATGGAGGCTGGTTGCAGAAGGGAGCTCATGGTAGGATGGGGGTATAGGTTCTGAGAGAGAGTTGGGGGAAGGAGGGAGTTGTGGCTCTAGGGCAGGAATTGGGTGCTGGGAGGGAGTGGCAGGCGCAGGCTCTGGCTGGCAGATGCTTACCCTAGCCAGCTCCCTGTCAGCAACCCAGTGGGCCCCTCAGACAGGCTCTCTTCCTGTTACATCTCTGCTCACCACTCAGAAGGGGCCAGCAGCTGGGGCCATGTGCGTGTCTGTGCCATGCACCCCAGGAATAGGGGGTCTCTACATGCTGTGCTGCTTGTGCTGCAAGCATATGTCAGGCAACTCCCATTGGCCAATTCTCAGCCAATGAGAGCTGCGAGATTATGCTGGGGGCAAAGCCTCTGACTCCACTCCCAGGATCGTACAACATGCTAAATGTGTATAGCTCCA